TATATATATATATATATATATATATATATATATATATAGTATAATGCATACTACATGTACATATATTTAAATAATTTAACAATTTAATGACAAACTCAAAAAATACTAGAAGAACTATGCATGCTTTATATTCATGGCAGATCTTTAAAAAGCCCTAAACACATAGCATCTACACAGAAAAGTCACAAAACATGTACAGAAATGTAAAGAATAAGAAATGTTTGATACTTCATAATCTAAAATTATAATACAGGTCATACATAAAGTGATTGAAATCCCCAAATGTTTTACTTCATGATATATAGTGCATCATGTTTCTATATAGGCTTAACTGTCTGTGTGTGACCAGTGTGATTTGACGGACGTCGACACGAACCAATAGCGTCATTAGTGAAAGCCAAGACGCTCTTCACTCCACCAATCAGCGCTTAGAGGAGGTGGGACTTTTGGTCCTCTGCTGCCGTGTAATTCGTGCAGTACAATTAGTTATAGCGCACGCCCGGACAACAGAGCAAAGGCTGGGTACCACTCGGACGGGAGAGAGCTTTTCTTTTGATTCAGTGTTTTTAAAAGGAACTTTCTGATGACGGCTGTTCTTTTCTTTTGAGCGCAAATGATCGCGCGCGCACGTATATCGCCATTTTACACCAGCGCGTGCCCTGGACGTAAAATGTTATCGGGATGAATCCCCCGCTGCTTTCCATCGGTAAGCAAAACGAGATGTGCTTGACTTAGCTTTGTTTGCCGACAAATAACATGAGCGGCATCCGTTGTCTGGAATCCGAATGAAAGCCTGCGCATTGCGGTGCGGTTTGTTTTCGTTTCATCTCGTATTTTGGAGCGTCGGGCATCCCCTCCTCTCCCACGCATCACTTAATCGATAATCGATTGCATGGACTTGGGACAGATGTTAAGCTTTCTTCTGTGCCATCATCGCTGCATGTGATACATCGCAGCTCTATTTGGAACATCACTGGCTTTCCTGTGTCATAAATGAAAAACAAACCCTACCCTCTAAAATTCACACCACCATGGGAGAAGAATGCTGGCTTTGGAAGGAAACACAAGTCTTGCACGAGAAACCACACCAAAATAATCGCCAACCCTGGAATTGTGATGAAAGTGCTACGGCGGAAGAAGATCATCATGCTTCTGGCCTATTTTCTGCTGGTGGCTTTGACCATGCTGAACCTGGCTAATTACAAATGGACCAAAGAGCCACAGCAGTGCAACCAGCCGATGCAGGGAGTGAACTTCCAAAGCAGATCAGACATCCGTTATCTTTACAAAGCCCCGCAGGTCAAGAAAAGGCAGCTGGTGTACGTGTTGACCACTTGGAGGTCCGGCTCGTCCTTTTTCGGGGAGCTCTTCAACCAAAACCCAGATGTGTTTTTCTTGTATGAGCCCATGTGGCACATTTGGCAGAAGCTGTACCCGGGGGACGCCGTGTCCCTCCAAGGAGCGGCCAGGGACATGCTGAGCTCTCTTTACAGGTGCGACTTCTCCGTTTTTCAGCTGTACAACAGTCCTGGGGGCAAGAACATAACCACTCTCGGACTGTTTGGGGCCGCCATCAACAAGGTCATCTGCTCCTCCCCCTTCTGTACGTCCTACAGGAAGGATGTGGTGGGAATGGTGGACGAAAAGGTTTGTAGAAAGTGCCCTCCACAGAGTCTTCAGATGCTGGAGGAGGAGTGTCTAAAGTACAACACTATCGTGATCAAGGGAGTTCGCATTTTGGACGTCAACGTTCTGGCCTCCCTAATGGAGGACCCTTCTTTGAATCTGAAAGTGATCCATTTGGTGCGAGACCCCAGGGCGGTGGCCAACTCCAGGATTAAATCCCGGCACGGACTCATACGGGAGAATTTGCAAGTCGTACGCAGCAGAGACCCCAAGCTTCGCCGTGTGCCATTCGTGGACCCCAACCACAAAATGAACAAAAAAGACGGGTCAGATTACCACTCCATTGGAGCCATGGAGGTGATCTGCGAACAAATGTCTAGAACTCTGAAAACCGCTCTTCACCCTCCCACCTGGTTCAAAGGCAAATACATGACGGTACGCTACGAGGACCTGGTGGAGAACCCCATTAAAACTGTTCGGAATGTTTACCGCTTCGCTAATCTTTCAGCCAATCACGACATTGAGATCTTTGCTATGAATATGACGACAGGACCGAACGCCTCCACCAAACCGTTCATCGTGTCCTCCAGGAACGCCACGCAAGCGGCCAGCGCCTGGAGAACTGTGTTGAACTACCAGCAGATCAGACAGGTGGAGGAGTACTGTCAGCATGCCATGTCTCTGCTGGGATACCTGCGCGTCCGCAGTTTAACCCAACCTTCTGGGTAGTAACCCAACCGCTGGGTCAAAACAACACAATAGCTGGGTTTGTCCCTATTTTACCCAGCACTGGGTTGTATTTAACCCAGCATTTTTTAGAGTGTACTATTACCTTTCTGTAACTGAATATCCATCCATCCATCCATCCTGATTTCTTTGGTAATATCACTTTAACTAACAAAAGCCAGTTCCTTAATGACATCATCCTTCAGGAAGTGAACTTATTTTCATCAAGAAAACAGCAGTACACAAAAAAATGCTGGGTTAAAAAGGGACAAACACAGCTATTGGGTCAAAACAACCCAATAGCTGGGTTTGTCCCTTTTTAACCCAGCATTTTTTAGAGTGTAGCATTATTAGTGGTGTACTTGATGATTTTTGTGATGTTTTGTGCTATTATTCGGTTTGTACACTCAGCATTCCATTTTTTTTGTGATATAATGACAGAAATCATTAACTGTAAGTTGCAGCCCTCATGCAAGTCAGTCTCTCTGAGCTATGGCTAAATTTAGCTCTTCATTTCTTATCTGTTATGTAAGATCTAATTAAATTTTAGGTGCTTGAGCTCGACCTGATATTTCTAAGATTTTTCTACACTCCTTAATAGAAATGCTTAGAAGTTAGGGAGCTTCAGATACTGCGTAACAGGAATGACCCAATCACTGCATTAGCGGGGTTTATGTAAGACGTTTTGTAAGTCACTCTCAGCTGCGTGCTTTCTTTCAGTTCCACTTCTAAGGCCATACAAGAAGTCTGGGTTTCCCTTTTTTGATGCAGAATTGTTGTCATTAATACACATAAGGTTAGTGAAGGAATGATAACTCTTTGCCGTGCCCTGATTTGAATGTGGCCCGTAGAACTGCATTCTTAAAACACATCCAGCAGGTTTTAATTTAGCTCATTTCTCGGCATGCAAGTCTGGTTTAATCAAAGAGGAAATGAATTTGTGATTACAGTATATGATTCTCTGAACATTTCTATGAGTATCTTCACTTCTGGGTTTGGTAGGCATGTAGATATCCCAGCATCTTCAAAAATACAGCCTCCCTTGTAACAAAAGAGCACGACACTTTGACAGTATGCAAATATTTTAACATATAATCTGCATTTCCTTCCTTTATGTTAAACTCTGCTGGAAATCTGGACAGATTCACTATAGACTGATGGCTGTGTTTATCATCTCCTGGTCTCACATTTGCGTCGTAAGTTTATCATTTAAATCACAGGGCGTATTGACACATTTTAATTGAAAATCTCGCTTTCTCAAAGTATCACTAGGTCACACTACGTTTAATGTTCCATTCACGTCTTCAAATGCAGGAGAATGGGAATGCAAATGTCTAGAAGATTTTCTTTCACTGTGTAACTTCAAATTTGCTTCAATACAACAAAATTCAAAGGGACATGATTGCAGAAATGCAGTAGATAGTATTTAACATTTGGATTTAGGATTATTTACTGTTTCTAATTGATGACAAAATATTCTGTTGCATGGCCTGAAGTAATTTTGCATATTTAAAGTTTGTAAAGAATATTTAAAATGTTATTTAGAACCATCTTTTCTTTAAAGAATCCTGTGGGGGGGAAAAAAGTATCATGGTTTCCACAAAATATTATAGGCAGCGCAATTGTTTCCAACACTGATAATAAGGAATGTTATTTGAGCAGAAAATCAGCATATTAGAGTGGTTTCTGAAGGATCATGTGACACTGAAGACTGGAGTAAATATGCTGTAAATTCAGCTTTGCATCACAAAAATAAATAAAAATTTTAAATATAGTAAAACAGAAAACAGTTATTTTAAATTATAATAATATTTCACAATATTATTTTTTTATGTATTTTTGATCAAATAAATACAGCCTTGGTAAGCATAAAATACCTCTTTTAAAAAAAATACTGTGTGTGTATGTATATGTGTATGTAAAATGTATGTGTGTTTGTGTGCTTTGCTGTATCTGCACCAATAGCTGTTTTTATATTATAAACTAGGTTACCATTACGCATCTATAGTGACGTCTGTACCAGTGCAAAAGCTATTTTAAGAGCCAAGCGTCTGTAATATAAGGGAAACAACAATGGCAGCTGCTCTGTTCCTAACATGTCATTGATGTAGACGCTTTTTAAACTGTCAACTGCAGTAGACCACAAATCTTAGACAATCAGTCTGTCTCTCAGGGGTATCCAGTGACTGAATCCTTGATTCTGTGAAGTCGGCTGCAGCGTCTCTGGTGCTATTACAGCAGTGTTTGTGTGTGTGTGAGAGCGACTGAGCGATGGGAAACCACGAGAGAGCAGCCTCTGTTCTCCACAAATAGCAGCTGCGGGTGGGGAGGCCCCTGAGGGGTCGTAGTAGGGGGCCGAATGTGGAGTGGGTGTTGAATGGCTGGGCTTGAAGATCTGTTGGCGCTCAATGTGGGTCCCGGCAAGTGCCCTGGCCCTTATCCTGCTGCTGTAAACGGAACACGAGGTGACAGAGAAACCTGAAATGACTTCTGGGATGTCGCTGATGGCATTATGACCTCCTAATGATACTGTTACACTTTCAGTAACGCAGGATGTTTAGAATCAGGTGTTTACTGTAAATATATGCTTCTAGTGAAATGTTTTGACACACATGACTGAAAAACTTTTTAGACTCTTGACTGGTTGTCATGAATATGGACTACTGAAATTTTGGTTCCGTGGTATACCACGGAAAAACCTAATATGATATTAAAAATAATCACATATTAAATGGTTGTAGTTTTACCACAATTTTCTAATGTAATTACACTATAATATAAATAGATTTTATAATACAAACAAATTAGTATTCATTGTTTTGTTAAAGGGTTAGTTGACCCAAAAATGAAAATTCTGTCATTAATTACTCACCCTCATGTCAGCGTTGTTTACGTTCAGGAGAAAACGCGCGCATATGCTTTATTCTCAAATGATTAATGTTAACAACATCAGCATTGGTGACTATGAGTATAGTGTGTATTAGCGTGTAGATTTCAATTTCTACACAGTCTAATCTAATTGTCATACTCTTCGAATTCCATATTAAGAGATTCTTTTAACCCAAAAAGCAAATTATGCTCCCTTCGAACTGGTTTTCTTTAAAATACAAATCTTGTGTAATCCCAGGCTATCTGTAATCAGAAGCACATTTATAACTGGAATATCATTTAAGTTTCATTCACATGTGTTTCATAAACAGATAATCCTTTATGGATTACAATCCGCCATCAAAATGATACATTTAATTATTCCAGCTGCTGTAAGAAAAGATTATAAACGATTGGCCACCTGCAGGATCCTCACATGCGATAGCCTAGTAGCCGGGACAACTTCTTTATGTTTACAGAAGTGACGTAATGA